CACGCACGCACGCACGCACGCCACCCTGTTGCTTTGCCTCACCCTTTGTCTATCTGTCTGTGTGTCTGTCTGTCAGCATCAGCCACCACGGGCCCATTGCTCGTGGCCGTATCGGCCCCGACATCGCCCTACCTCGCTGGCCAGTACCGAAGACTGAGAAAGACCCACAACAGCCGACCAGCCTACCAGATGATGAAGAGCGTCGCAATCACACCTCTCCAACCACAGCCGTCATCCCCATCTGCCGCCCCCGCCCCGGCCGCTACCCACACACCAGCTGCCAAGGACGACTGCGTGGGTGCGAGGAGGGACCGTGATCGAGAAGCCACTTCATGCCCGCCATCCAAAGAAGGCAGGAGCGCCTCGTCTCGTGGCAGCCACGAAAACAAGACAGCAGACACGGCACCAACTGCGGCACCAGCCCCTCTGCCGACAGATGGGTCGGTCGTCACATTCGCCATCCGACCAATGGCCGGCCCCCCTGCCTGCGGCCTGAGCGTTGATAGCGAGCAAGAGGAGGCGGACGAGCCCACAGAGATGAACAGCGAGAAGAGGAAGACAGCACAAGAGGACGACATGGCGGATGACACCGACAGCGGCAGCGACTCCGAGTGGGTGTCCTTCCCGCCCCCACTGCCAGCCATCTTCCTCCCCGACAGCGACGATTCGGCCGCCGCCGAGAGTCTCCGGACGGGCGTGGGCGCGCGCATCTTGACGCTCGCCATGCGTCGAAGGAAGGCCAAAAAGGCCAAGAAGGCGACATCGGCGCGGACGGGTACACAGCAGCGGTCCCACGACGGGTCGACCTATCGCCGGCTGACCACACGGGCGGAGGACTTGTCCCGTCTGTATTCGCTCAACGTGCTGCCTCCATGTGACGATCCAGGTGCGAGCGGTGGGCGTGCCAGCACCAGTGTTCCATTCCCTTACGAGGAGGGCCGGAAGAGTACCCATCCCCCGACAGTCTCGGGGTGTGACGGCTCCCTTGGGACTCGTGCGGCCATGGAGCGGCTGTCACTGATGCGCTCTCGACACGTCAAGGACGCCCCAGCGTCTCCCCGGGCAGTGGCTGCGTCGTTAACCGATGCGTCGCGAGAGGAGGGCGGGGGAGCGGGTGAGCGGTTCCTCTACTTCGACTCGCAGTCAGGGTACTGGCTCATGTCCGACACCATGGGGGATTGCTATTATCCCGACGCTGAGACGGGACGAGACTGGTAAGTGTGGTAAAGACTAGAATAACACCTGTCTTTCTCTATGTGGATGGATGGATGGACGGATGGTTGCAGGGGCGCCATGAGCCCTGACAGGGTCACCATGGGGTGGCGGGTGTACAAGTCGGACGCTGACGCGTGGGAAGAGGCACCATCACTCAAAGTCGTCGCAATTCCTACCGGTGGGTATGTATGTGTATGTATCTGTCCGACCCACCCGATATATTCGATTCATCCGTCCGTCGGTGTGTTTATGTATGTCGATGTGTGGTGTGTGTGATGCAATCAGCGCTGGAGATGTACCCGCAGCGTCTCGTGGTGTCAGGCTGTCCCAGAGACGCCGACGCCGGCCCATTCGTCGACCTCAACGGTGTCTACGTCCTCCTCCCCTCTCTCCACAACTGCCGCCCCCGATGGCAGCGAATCGGACACCTGCCCGCACGCAAGAAGCGCGCTGGACATGTCGATTTACTCACGCACAACAGCAATGGCGATGGGCCCTCAGCGCCACGCGAGAGGGCGTCGGCGCCCACCACACCGCGGCCTTCATCTTCGACGGCTCCGCGTGAGCGGCATCAGGCCCTGCTGCATTTCCGCATTACGGGCGGCCTCACTTGGTGTCTGAGCGTCGTGACGAGGAGTTCGGAGGGTGGCGACATCCAGCAAGTGGCCGATTGGGTGGTGCCCGACAATCCTGACATGTAAGCAAGTCCTGACGCGGAGGATACATACAAGAGACAGACACACGAAGCGACTGATAGATATATGAGGCAAACAAAGAGCACGCCATGGACTGGCTGTTTCTCTCTATATATATGTGCAGGGCGGTGCTGGATCCCTCCTGTGTCCGATCGTGGCGTGTGTTTTCACCGTCCATCAGTCGCTACACCCGGAGCCGCTTCATACGCATCTCCGCGCAGCGCTCCGACCGACCCAGCACAAGCATCAGCACCGCCGTCACACCTGGCCCGGCCAAAGCCAAACACGCCAAGGGAACGAGTAGAGAGCGGACTGACAGAGACAAGGCTGCGACGCTTCCACCATCGTCGACGGCGTCGGGGACGCACTGGTGTGACCTCTTCAAGATGCGGCTGCCAGACCCGACCACCACCACCGGATCGACTGTGTCTGCCGTGCCGTCATTCGCCGGCTCACTCGACGACTTGCCCGCCCCGCCCACCGACCATCAACTGGTCTTCAGAGGTGGAGGGGAGACCCCTCCTGCGGCCCCACCGATGGTGAGGCGTGCGCGGCGGTCTCTG